CGGGCTGGCTGTAGGCTGGGAACTGCTGGGCTGGCTGTGAGGGTGTCTGCTGCTGGCTGTAGCCTGCTGGAAAGGCAAAGAGCAAGGGGGCAGTGAGAGACAGGAAAGAACACACAGTGCGTGCAGCAACAGCTTCTTTGATTACAGCAATAAACACAAAACAATGCAGTAAGCACAGAAAAGGCAAACCGAGAATGAACTGCAAGTTTTCCTGCCTTTCACATAAGCACACTGCCTGGGTCTCGGTGCACTACCCTGGCAGCACAGCAACAGTGAAAACACTTAGTATAAAATAGTTTGCCCATAACTGACGAGAAATAAATAAAAAAAAAAAGACACAGTATTTTACCATCATGTCACATGAAAAATAAAAAGGCTTCATTGGCAAATGAGGCAAAAAGCAATCTTTCTCCCAAATAACAAAACTAAACTGTCACAAAAATATTGTCAGGGTTTAATATAAGTCCTACCTTTGATTAAATCATAGGTGTTTTCAGTTCTTTATCGTTAAATATGAAAAAGTTGTGCAGAACAGAGTAGTATAAAACTTCCATTTAAGCATGACCCACACTTGTTTTTTTCTGCATAAAGCCAGATTCTAAAAGGGATTTCTCTCGTTGAAGATTTTAAAATGACAAAGTCCTTTTATGAAAAAATAGCTACTTTTATCCATCATGAAACACACCTGCAGCTACTTGCAATGAAACCTCTCCAGTGACTGGAATCCTGTCAGCATTAAACACCAGACACACAAATTATTAACAGTGCACAGCCCTAAAGTTTTTTATTGAAGAATGCACTGGAGTAAATTCCAAAACTCACCTTGAAACTGGGGTCAAAATTTACTCATGAGACAAACCTCTGAAGGGTCCATTTTTACTACCATGAGTAAATAACCACATTGTTGCCTAGCAGACCTAACACAAGTGGGAATGGATCCTGCTCTTGGGGAACGTGGGTTTGAAAGGAGACAATACTCATGGGAACCACAGCAAAACAAAACAAAAAATCTTATGAATTAAGATCTTCCAAGGCTGCTGTCACTAGTTCTCAAAAAAAAAAAAAAAAAAAAAAAAAAAAGACTGTTTCTGAAAGAGGTTAATCATGAAATAAGCCATGAGAAACAGGTGTCCCAGATCAGTTTTGGTGGTGGTTCATTCTTACTTGAAGATGTTGATTAGAATGCAGAACTCACATTGCACTGCAGCTTTCACAGGAACTTCCTCAGTAAAATAACGGATTAGATGATGGTAGGATATGATTAGAAAGTAGATGGAAATGCCTTTTTTTCCCCCCACTCAGATTTAGGCCTAAAGAAAGTCAGATAGACCCTTCTACTTCCAACACGCTTGTTACTTCTGAAATTAAACTTCAGAAAGTTTGTCACTGTCTTCTAATGGCAAATGTGGGGGTGAGAAATCTGCAGAGAACAAGATACCATTTAGAAGCCCACATCAGTCAGCTCTCGCACAGTGCACAGGAACAATGGTTGAGGCACAAACCTTCAGTTTCAAGTTTTCTAGGGTTCTTATCCAAGACAAACATGGAATTTCTTCATAAGCTCTGCAAGTGATCTCATCTACATCAGAACTGATGCACTCCCACTGTATATACTGCAGACCAAAAAAGGGCCATACAGGCTCTATTCCAAGTCACTTAATGGTATGGGAGTCCTTTGTTTAGCTTAAGGAAGATTGTTTAAAACAAGAATTAAAAAATACTTTGTATCATTTTCTAAAAGTATTAAACAACTTGCAATTTGTTATGGAATCTGCTGTTATAGGTTCATCCCTGTACTTTAGCTGGATTATGATTCACAGCATATACTATGCATTATTAGATGCCAGCTGCTTCTAAAGTAAATAACTAAAAGTTCTGAAGTCAAGTTTATTTTGGGTATATGCAGAAGCTAGCTTTTCATATTTGACTGCACATAAACCACTAGTGCACTAAAATCTTCTTCCGCTAAAAGTCTAGTGGCACCTTTACTTGAGGTATCAGCAAAATCAACGACCAAAAAAATCCTATTAGTTGAAAGTTTCTATGAATTACAGCATTTATAACAGCTAAGGACATATCAAGTGACAACCAGTGTTCACTTAATTTTGTACATGAAGATCATTCTAGATGCAAGAAATAGGGGCCATCTTTATATACCTCCAATATTTAAGGAAGCTAAACTGGAATGTTTTAGTCACTTACTTGCTAGAATTCCAAGACTGCAGAAGTTAATCCCGAAGACTGCACATACTTCAGGTGATTAATTTTGCCTACCTTTCTAACAAGGCATTCTGATCATTAATAATGAGGTCTGCTTCTGGTCACAACCAAGTAGGATTGAGATACCAGAACTCCAACTATGTAGTAAAAATATAGGCAGCTACTGTGTTCTCTTACTGGTAATCCTGGAATTGTGCCAGTTCCCATCAGAACCACAGGCACTCAGGCTACTCAGCACCCTGACTCACCCCACAGGCTCAGGAACCAAAGCTCACAGGGTTGGGCACTGAAGGAGAGGTTCTAGAGCTAAATCACCATTTGAGAGAGCTGCTTACCTGGGTACTGCATACCGTACTGCTGCTGAGGCTGAGCCTGCGGCTGCTGAGCAGGATACCCAGGCTGCTGGTACTGCTGATACATCTGACCTATGGATTAAAAACTTAAGATTTAGTTGAATCCCAGTACCCTAGCTACATTATGAACACACAGTGAAGAAAGAACATCCGAACAGTTTAAAATCGCAGAAACAAAAGCCCTCACAACATGTAAAAACCTTTTAAAAAAATCTGAACACAGTGAAGTTTGAGTATGTTCTACCCAATTACCAACTGAAATCAATCTACAGATTTTAGTTTCTGAACCATGCCGTTCTGAAGACTAAATGATGTTTAACACCAACAGAATAAATAGTTACAATTTGGTATGTGAGGCTTACTATTTTCATTTTCAGAGAATACCAGAAGACACGCACCTTAATTAGTGCTACTCTGGTGGGTAACAGAGCAGGAATCTTTAAATGTCTTGAAAACTGCTCCAGAACTTACACTGTAAATTAAAGCACTTCGAAAGTTAAACATACCTTTAGATTGCCCGTTTATATTAAGTTTTTAAGACCATTCCTGCATCAAAGTACTGTAAGCAGAGTGGTACATTATTTACTCTGACCACATTTTCCAGATAAGTCATCCAGCTCTTAACTTATCTGACACGCTGTAAGCCAAGTTTTCTTAAGAGACACAAGGGTATACACCCTGAAGCAAAAACAAAACCATACATTCTTACACTTGAGTATTCCAATTCAATGCTCATTTTTCCTAAATTCACTGTTTCCAATTTCTTGGCAAGAAGAGACAGAGTATTTGTTTAGACTTAACCTATGGGTCCTGTTCAGGCTTTATGCTTCGGCTGTTTTTCAATTTAATAACAGGCACAGTCAAAGAACCAAGAGAATTATTTGCCAAAACTAAAGCTTAGCTGAACTGGACCAGACATGGAAACTTCACCATTATAAAATGTTACTGTACTATTATTCATTCTGCAAGATCAGCAGACTGTATAAATATACTGTAAGCTGTATCTTCTGAACCGTACAAAAGCAAGCCAGCTCTGCTCCCAGTCCTGCCAGACCCCCTGTGCATACTGCTTCAACAGAACTCTTTATTTCTTCTTTTCTCTGCAGTACTTGCAGCTGAAAGCAATGGTATTTTACTGTCCAGGTTTCAGTTCAAACCACAACATTTACATTCACACCAAGGTGTTCAAATGTTTTATACTGCTATATTCCCTTCAAAATTGTGTTTGGTATGCAATTATTGTGGGATGAAGAGAGTGCTAAACACAAGGCTTGAAGAGAATTTAAGACTGTTAGCTTGATAATTAAAAGCTAGAAACTCAGAATGCATGTTTTTTGTTTCTTAAACTCAGTTGTCAAATGAAAGTTCTGGGAGAACAAGCAGGAGGCTGCTTGTCTTGGGACAATTACCTACAGGCTAACACAGAGACCACACTGGCACCTGCTGGAGACACCAGGTAAAGGGATATTCAAGTGTGGAGTTATTCTAAAGCCTTCTGAGAAGGCTTGCTTGTCTTCACCAGGGCTGAAGAGTCAGTGAGGAACAGAGAGGTGTTCCCATGGTGTTCAAGAAAACATTCTTAATTTACAACCATGAATGCAGTCAGAGATCCTATGGGTCCTTAAACACACAGTTTTCCCCCTCACTGGATTTACTCTGAAAACAAGTGAGTTACAGCATCGGCATCTGGTTTTGTGCTCAGCAGTGCTTATTGCAGTAAAGGATCTGTCAGCATTTACACCATTGTTCCTGTGCACTGAAACAGCCATTTTAGCTTGATTCAGAAAAAAAAGAACCAATGGGTATACCTGCACAACATTCTTCTCCCTAAAAGATCATGAAGTCTTTTACACGGATGAGTTTTACATCTATTTTAGCAAAGTGTCCACGCTTGTACAAAATTGGTTCTCATGTGTGTGCAGCTACTGGATTTAGTACATGCACAGGCGTGACACAAGAAACAGCACTATACTGGAATGTCTTTGTTGTACAGATTTAATTCAAACTAGTGGATGTTAAAACCTTATCAAGAGAAGCAAGCCATTCACTAGTATCTGCACACAAAGGTGAGGCAATTTGGTATTCACAAATGACTACAACTAATAATCAATTATAATCATCATAATTTATTGGCAAAGAATACTATTAAAAAATAAACCCTGATATACCAGAATGAATGACAAGTGACTGACATCACCATTTACTTATATCCTCAAAGGGGGGGGGGGGGGGAAGAGGGGGAAGCACAGCTTAGGGTGTTTTCATTTTTTAAGAAGTGAACTAATATTTTAAAACTGGTTTTAAAACTAGTTTCTAACAAGAACAAGCTCTGTACCAGCAATGCCCCTTGTACAAGCCAAACCTGTTGAAAACCTAACCATCAAAATGGATCCAAAGTTCTGTCTGGGCCACAGCCCTGCACCGGTTCTCAACCCAGCTGCACAAGTGCAGGAAGGGAGAGTGGGACAACACAGGTCCCCAAACTACCGTTGGACTGGGGTGCTATCAAGCAGTAAGAGACTGCTAGTTACCATATGCATACAATGCACACCATAAGAACTCCTGCTAGTATTTCTGACGAACAAAGTACTATAATGCCTTCTGACCTCTTCCTAGGAACTGAACCATCCTATTTTACCCATAAAGTGAAGAAAATATAATCAATCAATACTTAACATGTTTCAGTGGCAATATAAAAACTGCATAAACTACAGACCAAAACCTTCATAATTAGTGCCGTTGGACTTTTACATGCAAAAAAAAAAGGACTTGGGCAAAGGTATAGCACAGTTCAGTGTTAAAAAAAAACCAACCCACTCTACTTTGCTTGACCCAAGTTTAAAAAAATCATTACATCTAATCTGACATATGAGCCTAGACAACGTCTTTCCTAAATCAGATTACTTTTGCTAAAACAAGTACTTTTTCCCTTTTCTGGTGTTAGCAGCCATTCAGGAATCCAACCTACTGCTGCTAGTGCTTTTAAGGGTTTCACTTTTTTTGTTTCAGTTCTAGTTCAGTATCACAACTTAAAACCTTATTGTATTAAAGTAGAAGTAAAAAGCCTAAATTAATAAAATACAAGTTCACTAACTGAGAGTACATTTTTTGAATATTATGTTTTCTAGCTGCTAACAAAAGAACCTGAAACACTTTTTTTCCAAAAGTAACTTCCACTCATATCAAACACCAAACAGTGATTATATCTTTAACCTACAAAGATGTCTCTTGCTGTCTCATTTACATCACTTGACTAATTCTTAGGAAAGTAAGTAAAAAAAAGAAAAAAAAAAAGCTCAAAGCAGCACAAGTGTTTTATAAACTCCATTGCAACACCATTCGCTTAAATATTATGCCCAACTACAAGCTGATCAAATACTCTGCTCAATCAAAATGTTACTGATGCCCTTCAGGCAAGATATTCCAAGTGACTGTGGATACTGTCATCACCCTCAATAATGCCTCTCACATTTACATCAGCATTATGTCAGTACAGGAAGCACCAGAGGCTTGTAACTTGCTTCTGCACTAACACAGAAACAATTTTATATTGTACTTTGTACAGAGGTAGAAATACCAGAGCAAGTCATTCCACAGACAGCTTCACCCAGCACCATGCAACTCAAAATGCTCAGTGCTCTTAGAAAATATCATGAGAAAAAATGATGTCCAAATGTAGCAAACCTCTCAATAGGTTTATTTTTAGAAGTCAAATAACATGTAAAAGGTCATAGTACACAGGAATCTGAATTCCAGAATTAATACCTTAAGCTTTAAAGGCAGGCCAGCTGAGGCTCTCGAGGGTTACACAGGAAAACTACCATGCTTACAAGATAATTATAAGGTTTAACCTGACTAGCACAGAGCCGTAAATAGGAAAGCAGCAATGCAGTAATGGCAGTTTTGTTAGCTAGAAATGAGTGAACAACATTTGTAATTCACAGAAGACAAGCAACAGTTAGCTGAGTGAAGGTAACTACTAATACTTCTTGACACAACACACAATGTACAATATGAACTAAGATCTTCAGACAGCTTTAAAGTGCCTTAAAGTGAGCACAGATGCTAGAAAATAGAACCACAAAAATCCTTCTCATGTTACATCACCTACCCTTTTAAATAAAGCTACTGCTCCACCTGCTGCTTCTGTGTTGAACAGCATGTGAGAGGAAAAGTGTTTCTGTCTAGTGGCACAAATGAATCTGTAGCTTGGTATCAACTTTTGAGTCTACTTGTAAGTCTTAGCTAATGATCACTCAGATTCAGACACCATAATTCACATCTTAAATAGGAGAAAAACCTGCTGCTTACCTTCCACCTGACCAGTCTGTGGCTGTGTCCCAGGGTAAGGTGGCTGCTGTGCCTGAACACCAGGAGGATGAGCTGCAGAAGAGGAGGAAGCAATGCTGTCCGGTGTTCCTGATCGCTCTTCAGCAGGGGCACTGGGTGGTCCTAGCGGAGCAAGAACAAAATACAGTATGTGAAATGAACAGACTGAATTAAAAAAAAAAAAATCCAATACAAGACCATTCCCTTGCAAAGTTTTTAACATATTTTCCAGTTTTCCACAGATGTACATCTGACAGCGTCACATCCAAGCTAAAACCAAATATATTTGCACATGTAGACTCTACTTTGAGAATATTTTTGGGGGGAATTTTCCACCTGTCTCTAGCTCACTCATATTTAATCCTTCCAAGGAACCTGACCTGTTTGTGGGATAAAACCCTGCATGACAACATGGTTTTTCCACAAACCAAGATTTGAGTCATCAATTATGAACAGGTTTTGCTTTCCTTTTCATAAGATGTGTTCTTACCTGACACCTGATCATCTGTCAAGCCAAACGCTGACATGACATTCTTACTGATTTCATCCTGGTTCTTCAGTGGATCAAATGCAGACATGCTTGCTGCTATAACTTGAGTAGATGGCTTAACATTAGAGTCAGCAGCAGCAGGCTTTTCTTCTCTACCATCTACAGCATCTACAAAACAAAATGCCCAGTTATTAATTCTTGAGAACTGAAACACCATCATACATATTTATTGCACTTCAAAATTTCACAGTTGTGGGGGTTTTTTAAATGTTTCAACTGTTGAAATGCTTATGTTACGATAACAGTGATGAAATCAGTCACCTATCAGAAACTGTGATGGTATTTATGTTTCAAAACAAAACCTACGTTTCATTGCACAGTTACTTAAAGAGTGTCAGTATCACGTATCACTTCATCTTAAATTCAAAGGTATGAGGCTCCAGCTTCAACAAATTTTTCTGGTATGACTTGCCGACAGAGAACTCAAAATCAAGAAACTAACAGGATAGGTTCCAGTTTATTATAGTGTTTTATCAGCTGCGGTTTTTGTTTTGTTCTATCCTCTTCTTCCCGAACTCTTCATAAACTGATATGTGACGTTCATCTCTTTGCAATTACACAAGTTACACTGAAACACTCAAAAACCCCTTACCTGGTACAGTGCTACATTTTATCTTAGAAACAAACAGCTACAAATAGGGCTTAGACTGGCTAGTTCTGTTTACACTTTAAGATCATCACTCTCACCTCCTTCCAAATGGTTTAACACCAGAATCAACAGTATTCCACTGAAATCAGTAATTTCTTATATTGTAGGAACAGGGGCTGGCGTTTTTTAAAAAATGAAACCAATAAAATTTCAAAGGGTAAAATACAAAATCAGCATTTCCTGAAAGACTGGAGTTCTTCGTTCACCTCTTTACACAGAACACTGTATTCCATGACTTTGTGTCATTATTTTCTGCATCCAGCTTACCTAAAATCTGTAGTTAAGCACACACAGGTATAGTCTTTACAATACAAGAGCGCTAAGGTAGGAGATCAATGCCTCAAAACTGGGAGGATAAGACTTCCTTCCCCGTTTTGCCCTCCCCCAATAAGGCTTTCCCACCACTATCTGCACCCCCATGCTGCTTACCCTCAGACAGCTCTGATACTGGTCTGAGCTCAAAATGTGTGGATTCACTTCCTAACCTGGCAAAAAAAAGTGGATATAATTTTTGCTGAACTCACTTTTTACTGTTTTAGTGAATCAAATTTGCTTAGTAACATGACAAGATAAGCACCAGAGCTAGCCCAAAGTAAGCAGTGGGAGTGCTCAGATGGGAGCAAGAGCTCATCAGCAACAAACTACTAATTCAGCTCAAGGCCTTCTCAAAACGTCGTCGTGACTCACAAGTGTTAGTTACAGCGTTTACACACATTGCAACAAAAACTCAGACTTTTAAGTTTCATTCCTAAATTAACTTGGTGCTTTACTACAGATAATTTGAATAAAAATTCTGCCTCTGAAATAACTGAAGCATTAAAAATTAAGTTCTGAACCATCAAGCAACAATAAAGAACAATCACAACCAGTATTCAAGCCTCCACTGTTCACTTTGTTAAACTGCACACAACTCTGCAAATCAAAAACCAAAAAATTCTTTGCCAGGCTGCCTACCACTTTCAGGCAGACTAGTGGAAAGCCCTGGTTCAGCTGGTGGTTCTAAACAGTCCAGTAAACGATTGACTTTATTGCGAAGTTCTATCAGCTCTCGACGCAGGTATTTCACCTGATTAGATTCTAGGGGTCTTGGTTGTCCATTCACTGCAAAACAGTAATTAGATAAATTTAAGTCTGTAGTAACATTTTGACATTCAGTATAAAATTGAAAAAAACCCAAATTCGCAACTTTTACTTGCTTGTAGAATCATCATCCTCTGTGGAGTTTAAAAGTGACATCGCTCAGTAAACACAGACTGAACTCATTCTAGTGTTTACTGTTCCTTTAATATAATCTCAGTTCAGCAGAACCCACAGTACCAGAACTGCAGAGTCTGCAGTAAGTTTCTGCACTGTTTACTCATTTCCATTAGTATATCCTGAACAATACAAATATCATACTTCGTTGTGGAAAGCTGTCCCTTTAGAAAGTACCTTTAGAACTAAGGCAGCATACACAGCCCCGCTCCAATTCATGAATAAGGTCAGTGTTCAGGTTAAAGGCTGCTTGCCTTGGAACTATGGGCTAATTTACTGATAGTAACTTGAAAACAAAGAACTATTTTATGCAAAGGCCAAAGGATAAATGTTAAAATCTATTCAACTTTCAGCAATTAATGTCAGTTTTTAGCAGTGTACTAGTAACACTGCAAATTTGTCACTATCTTAAAACTTCTCACACACCTGTGAAGAAAACCTCAAAATGCTAAAGAGTGGAAGATAACATGGAAAATAACATGAAGAAAAAACAACTGACCATACATATATGTATGCCAAATACTTTAAGCAATTTTTATGAAAAGAAACAGTTTCAATTTCCGTAAGTTCGGATGCCACGTGAAACATCAAGAGAGAAAATACATATCATGTGTTAATTCAGTATTTTTAACTTACTGATTTCATTCTACTGAGGTGACAAAGTTTTTAGTACCTTCCAGGGAAGCCCACTGCCTGAATTTTAATAAATCTTATTTTTAAAAAAAGACAATCTTCTATACTTACCAAACAATGTCAGCTTAAGTATCCTACTGCACTGAATTGCAAAGGAAAGATCTGAGCTATCAAAAATTGTTATAAGATCTCCATCTGAAAAGAACATAAAAAAGGTACATTAAAAGCAAAGTCTATTAACTACTGAATTTCACCCTAGGGCAGAAGTGTTACTTCATTACTAAAAAATAACATCCTCTATTTGATACTGAAGCTAACAGAAAAAAGTTACCAATTAACACTATCACAAAAAGGGTACCATACCTTATTATATGGAGGACAGAAAAACTGAAAATGTACAAGTAGTAAACAGAGGGTTTTTTCTGTCATTAGTAAGTAAGGCTCATATCCTCAGTTCCCTAAGCTACAATCAGAGACATACATTTCTGATTTTAAATGCATCTGCAATAACTTGGGTAGGAAGAATACTTCCAGAATTAGGAACACCAAGAAAAATGGAAGTCCTCAAAACCAGTTTTTTAAAAAAATCATATCAAAAAGCAACAAGTTAGACTTGTACACAACACCAAACCGTTTAATTTAGTGTGATAGTGTGCGGGGAATTTATGCACAGAATGAAAGACAGAAGAACGACTGGCTCCAAAAGGGAGCCTTATGACCTGCTGACGGTTCTCCTATCCTTC